GTATTGGCCAACGTGGATCCCGAACAGTGCGTTTTCTAGCAATCGATGTTGCGCAATCTCTGTGGAACAAGGTACGTGGTGCAATCTACATGGTGCAATCTATGTTGTGCAATCCATGCTGTGGGATCTATGTTGTGCAATATATGTTGAGCAGTCTGTTGAACAGCAAACATGCATACATAGTGTATCTATATGTATGTATGCATGTCTGTCTGTCTGTCTTTCTGTCTGTCTGTCTGTCTGCCTGTCTGTCTGTATGTGTGTATTTTCGTATGCATACATTCGTAGTTGTATACTTATATACAAGTAAGTAAGTCTGTATGCATGCATGCATGTATGTATGCATGCATGTAGCTGTGTATGTTTGTAATGTGTGTATGTATGTATGCATGTATGCATGTATGTCTGTATGTATATATGTCTGTAGGTAGCTAGACAGGTATGCATCTAGGTCTGTATGTGTGTATGCATGTATGTATGCATGTATGCATGCATGCACGCATGCATGCATGCATACATACATGCAGGTATGTATGTATGTCGAACTGTATATCTGTTTGCCTGTATGTATGTATGTATGTATGCATGTGTGTATATATATATACATACATGTGTATATCGGTGTTCGGGCATACCCGTCCCCGTGAAAAAAAAGGCACCAGAGGGAGTCGATTGTCAAGGGTATCGTTCCTCCTCGTCCTCGTCGTCGTCGTCGTCGTCGTTCTCCTCGCCTTCATCCTCAATTCCCTCCTTCCTCTCATCATTTTCCATCGTCCCTATTGCCGTTCTCCACCTTCTTTTTCCTCCAGCTGGGGGCTGGAAAACCAAGCCAACACAATGGAACAACCAAGCAACACCAAAGACATTGAAGTTCTGGAGGCAGAACCTTTCGGACAACAATGAGAGCACACCCAAACAACCACACAAAGCAATTCCATGGGAACCCACCTTCTTCTTCCTCCAGCTGGCGGCCGCGCTGGCCCGCGCATGCTCGCGCGCGCAGCGGCCAGCTAGTGCGGCGCGGCCGACGCGGCCGCGGTGGCGCCGACCGCTGGGCACTTCCCAACGGGTAGTACAGTGCGAATTGGCGACTTGGGCGGGCGCGGTATCATGGCAACGCCGACAACGATAGACGCGATGATGATGGTAGCGGTGCTGGTGCCGATGATGGCAACGACGACGGCAAGGCCAGTGACGGCGCCGATGCTGGTCACGCCGACGACGATGACGGCGCCTCGCGTCTGTGATGCAGGCTTTGGGTTTCTTTCGACGCCCGTGCGCGGCCGATGCGTGAGAGTGACCCGCATTTGACACGGATCGTGCCCCCACCCCCAGCACCCGCGCCAGGGAGGTCGAATGATTTCGACGCGCGGCGCACGGGGCTCTTGTTTTGCAGAAGTGAGTGAACGTGGTGACAACCGTATTGTCAAACAAATCGCAGGATCGCGGGCGAAGGCATATTTGAAGATTTGGTTTGCAAAGCCATGCGTTTTGGTATGTGTTCGGGGCATTCGTTTTTGAAATCCGCTCGGGTCGTTTGTGTTTTTTGAGGAAATTCGGCATGCGCGCGCGACGACGCGCGCGTTTTTTTTTTTTTTTTTTTTTTTTTTTTTTTTTTTTTTTTTTTTTTTTTTTTTTTTTTTTTTTGTTTTTTTTTTTGTTTTTGCAAGTGGCTCTTGCGACAACACGTGCGCAAAAGGGCGTTCGAGTGATTCCGACAGGTGCGCGCGAGAAGCCCGTTTCGTAGCAAGGTATGGGTATTTTGCATCTCGTGGTTCCTCAGGGATTCGCAAGAGCCCGAGCGCACGCGGTTGTTTGAAATTTCGTGATGTGAAGCCATGTGTGTTTGCATGTGTGTTGTGCGAGGGGGGGGGGGGGGTACCAGCTTGTATGGGATGGTAGGAATTCGTTGTTCGGATGGGCGGTTGAGCAGAATCGTATGTACATTACAATGCGGTAGCACAAAGGGGCTTGTTAATTCCGGGGGGGGGATCCACCCTTATTTTTTCCCACATCCGAAGTGGGGTTTTGTTTTCTCCAGGCACCCCGCGCAGGAAAAAGAAAACACACCCTTCCCTCTTTTCTAACTGCACGCTCATATTCACTCAAACACACACATCATCACTCACACTCGCGCAATCGCCCACTGACTCACCCACTCGCACCCTCACTCACCCATTCATTCACCCACTCTCACACACATACGCTCATCATCACTCACTCACGCACTCACCCACTCACCCACCTACCCGCCCATTCACCCATTCACACATCATCACCATCGTTATCATCACCATTGTCATCTTCATCATCATCTTCGCTCACTCATTCATCTCAGGCGGGAGTTTCGTCTGTGAGTGAATTGCGAGGAAGTCTCGGGCGGGATCCTCTTCCTTATGCGGTCCGCAGATCATGTGAGTAATCCGAGCGGGTCATCGGAACCTTGTAATTGTCGTCTTATTTGGGCTCCTGAGGCTCGAATGAATATGGGGGAAGTATTTGGCGGGAGCCTCGTCTGTGAGTGAACAGCGAGGAAATTTCAGGCGGGAACCCCTTCCTTATGGGGCCCGCCGCAAATCATGTCATTAATGTGGGCGGGTCATCGGAATCTTGTAGCTGTCGTCATTTTTGGGCCCGTGGGCCCTGCATAAGGGGAAAGTGTCAGGCGGGAGCCTCGTGTGTCAGTGAACTGCGAGGATTCTCAGGCGGGAACCCCTTCCCTATGGGGCCCACAGATCATGTTACTAATCCGAGCGGGTCAACGGAACCTTGTAATTGTCGTCATTTTTGGGCCCGTGGGCCCTGCATAAGGGGAAAGTGTCAGGCGGGAGCTTCGTGTGTCAGTGAATTGCGAGGATTCTCAGGCGGGAGCCCCTTCCCTATGGGGCCCACAGATCATGTTACTAATCCGAGCGGGTCAACGGAACCTTGTAATTGTCGTCACTTTTGGGCACGTGGGGCCTGAATATTTGGGGAGTATGAGGCGGGAACCTCTTCTATGAGTGAATTGCGAGGAAGTCTCAGGCGGGACCCCCCTCCCTCTGTGGCCCGCAGATCATGTAATTAATCCGAGCGGGTCATCGGAACCTTGTAATTTTCGTCACCTTTGGGTTCTTGAGGCTTGAGTATTTGCTGAGGTTTCAATATTTGGGAAGTATGAGGCGGGAGCCTCTTCTGTGAGTGAAAATGCTGATCCTGCGGCCGCCTTCGCGCGAGTTTCTGGGGCGAAGGCCGCCGGCGTCCATGCAGAAGGCACTCGAAAAATCCGACGAGATAACGAAGAATTCCAGGGCAGAGGCGGAACAGCTCGCGGCAGAGTTGGGCTTCGTGCTGCCCCCTGTCTGAGCGCGGCTCCGCCCCGCTCGAAGCCCGCGGGGTTGTCCCAACGGCTTGGTGTCTCGCGTGCCAACTGCTCGCGGGGTTGTCCCGACGACCTGGCCCGCGGGGTTGTCCCAGCGGCTGCGCGATACGGCCATTAGAGAATGCGCCCGTGCTGGCCGAGGCGGCGGCACTGCCGAGGAAAATCGACGCGCGCGCCCCTGCCGGAAGGAAGGGGAGGCGCACGAGGAAAACAGGCGGGGCGGAGATGAGGACGGGGAGAACGGGGGGGGGGTGAAGGAGGAGGAAGAAAAAAACGGTGGGGAGGAATAGTACGAGGAGTGGGAGGGAAAGGAGGAGGCGGGAGGGGGGGTTGTCGTTGGCATTTCCCCCCTCGGAGGCCACGGTCCTCGTGAGGGGTGGCGGAAAATAGCCTCCCCCCTTTGGATCGCCCGGGGATCAGCCGGAGATCGGCCGGGGTACTTTTCGTCCGAGGCCCCCCTCCCGGGGGCCGCCCCGCGCGCGCGAAATAGAAATATTGTTAAGTAGTTACCGGAGATGCACGCCTCTGGCCCGTTGGGCTGGCGAATTTTGCAAGCGATGTGGTGCAGCCCGCGCGTTTCAATATATGCGGTTCAATATATGCAGTGCAATCAATGCGAAGCGGCGACGGGGCGGCGACGGCCGGCACGGAACTGCCAGACCGACGCGCAAATCCAAACGACGGGTGGCGACGTGGCGGCGATGGCTGGCGCGGAACCGCCACAGAGACAACCAGGCACAGTTCGGGGGGGAAAAAGTAAAACCCTAAATGCAAGCACTGTTTGTTGAATGTGATTCTATACTTGTGCACCTACATATGTGTGTATAAAGAAGCGTTTCGTCACTGGCATGGGATTTACTTACAGTTTCGGGGCATGTGCTGGCTCAGTGCGGTTGGGCGTTGTGGCGTGACCCTCAACGGAAGTCGTGTCCCTTGTCCGTCGTGAGTAGTACATCAATTTTCATCGTTCCCGATTCCCGTCCATATTCGCGCTCCTGGAAACCATGTATTCAAGACCTGGACCGCTGGTTGGCCCCGCAGGTCGGTGTTCGTACAATGTTAGGTGGTGCTGGCACTGCACACGCGTGGTGACGTTCTTCCGAGCCTTACAGGTGACGCGCCAGCTCACACCAGTCCAGCATGTACGCAGGATCGCCCAGGTTCATTCGAGACTGCCGCCCGTAGCTTTATGGGACCTCCTGGGGACACGACTGGGATTCATTGGTATTAGAGGTTGAGGGCTTTTTTTATAGTAATTATTCATTGACGTGTCTGCGCTTCGCTGTTGCATAACTAATAACAGTTGGTCTTCGTAGTGGACCAATGCAACTCTTTCACTCGTCTTTCCAAGCATCATTTACCGCCCATTGCAAGTTGCTATGTAGATATTTTCTTCACTTCGCAGGTCTCGAACCCTTCAACATGCGGCGGGAGATGGCGGAGGGCCACTTCGACGAGGCCCGCTCCATGCGCCATTGGCCAGTCTCCTCGGGGCCAGCTTCGTCGGGCTTTCATTATGTGTCCTTTCCTGCTGTCTGCTCACAGTGAGAAGTGTGTACGCCGTTTCCAGAACGCAGGCATGTGTAGGTCGTACGCTGGTCCTGAGGGGTATTTTCTGTTTCGTGCCAATGTTGAAACATGCGCAGTCGATCTCACGGGCAACTCATGACCCCAGTCATGGATCAGCCGGACATTGAGCATTGATGGGAGCGGGTTCAGGAACGCTTCGAATATTTTGGGATCAGTGCCGGGTGCCGATCAAGGTTACTTGCATAGGGCGATTCAGTGGAGCACGATTTTGTTCTGTTCATGCCGCCAGATTTTCAATTACATGAGTTTTTTTCCGTTTAATTCCAGTGTTGCAAGCGTTAGACGATGTTTTGCGGCGCTACGCGAAAGCCACACGTTGACCACCACCCGCCATACAGCCTCATATTTTCAGAACGCCACGGCGCAGGTTCGCGGCGTGAGGGCGAGAGCCACATCATTAGCACCCCGCCCTCCACCTGAGTAGTGACTTTGGGCGCATTCTCCAGGTTTAGGCAAATGGGCGCGCGGCGCTGAGGCGAGAGCCACAGCTTGAAAACGACCGGCCATCCATCCATGTACCAGTTGGACCTTTCAAGGCTCAGGCCCATGCATGCGAGGACCTTGTCGGCGAACCGCCCGAGCCGCTTTTCCAGCACGCCTGACAGTGGTGCGACGAGCAGGCGCTTTTGGCACACGGGCGGAGGCCTTGCGGCCGGTTCCGCCAACCTCTCAAAAGTCGGGGCTTAAGGGACGGGGGTCAGTGCAAACGTGGGTCAGCCAAAGCGCCCGATCCTGCAGGATCCTGCAGGTGCTAGGGTCGCATTGACCAGGGTTCGGGTGCAGGATCCGGCAGGATCCTGCAGGATCCTGCGCGTTAACCCGGGCTTGGGTGCAGGATCTTGCAGGATTCTGCAAGGCCGGACTGACCCGGGTCTGGACTGACCCCGGTCAGAAGATCCCCGAAAGAGGGCGTCAGCAGGGATTCTGCGACCCACTGCGAGCCCTGCCCCTGCGGGGCCACTCGACACGGGGGCACCGGACGCTGCAGGCACCCGTCGAGTGCCGAGCCCCAGCCGGCGTTGCAGAGATCTGACGCGCAAGACGTGCGGTTGCCTAGGGACGGAAATGGCGGGGCGGGACGCGGCAGCAAGGGACGACAGGGAAACCAGCATTGGGGGCGTTTCAGAGATTTGACATGCAAGGAGGTTGGATTCACGTGCGGTTGCCTAGAGACGGAAATGGCGGGGCAGGATGCGGCAGCAAGGGACGACAGGGAAACCAGCATTGGGGGCGTTTCATCACGAACGAACAACACACACCCATGCCCATAGGGGGGTCGTTGGGAGGAGGACTGGCTATGGGTATGGGTGCGGGTTGTCGGACCCTGGGGAACGCTCCCGTTCGAGCGGGGACCCCCATTCGACAAAACGCACCCATAGCCCTCTCCAACCCCCCTATGGGTATGGGTGTGTTTTGTTGGTTCGTCATTTCAGAGATCTGACACGCAAGGAGGTTGGGTTCACATGCGGTTGCCTAGAGACGGAGATGGCGGGGCGGGACGCGGCAGCAAGGGACGGCAGGAGAAGCAGCACTGGGGGCGTCGAGCACGAGGGCGCAGCGAGGCAGGCACAGCTCGGCAGGGCCACGGGAACGAGGGGCCGAACGGGCAACGCAGGGGCAGCGGGAAGTGGAGCAGTGGCAGTCCGATTGGCACCATTTGGCCGCTGGCTCTCCGGGGGTCCCCGTGGGCCAGCTGGGGACATGTTTGGCTCTGCTGGGGGCTTATTCGGGTTCTCTCGGGTCGTCGTGAGGTCCTCGGTCCTCGACAGCCTTCCCGAACATCTGCAAGGTTTGGATGATCTGGAGACCTTCGGCCCATACACCCACCTTGCCTGGGGTTGTGGTCCAGAGGCCTTTCGAATGCGTTCTGGGGTCTTTTGCGCACAGCCATGGGGGTGTCTTGGCGGCCTCATGAGGGCCTCTTGAGATCTCTTTGATAGGGGAACGAATAACGACAGAAACATAAACGCTCGGTGGTCCGTGCGGATTTCTCGCATCGGCGGTGGACCCCCCCTCCCTGGCGCGCTCCGCGCGCCAGGGGCGGCGCCGGAGGCGCCGCCAGGGGGTCCAGCGCCGATCCGAGAAATCCGCGCGTGACATAAACATAAAAACTCGGTGGTCCGAGCGGATTTCTCGTATCCGCGCTGGGACCCCCCTGGCGGCGCCTCCGCCAGGGAGGGGGTTCCACCGCCGATCCGAGAAATCCGCGCGGACCTCCGAGATTTTATGTTGAATGTCATTGTTCGTTCCCCTACTTGAGGCCTCCTGGGGGCTTCTCGGGGCGGGCGTCTCGGGTACATCCTGGCGGGGAGGCTTCCGCGGTCGGGCGGTGGGTGGTCTGGCCGCTCACGGGAAGCGCCAGGAAGCGCGGTAGCGCCACTGGACCCGATTCAATTCAACCTGGAACGATGGGGGCCGCGATCGGTTCAAGGTCGAACGATCGACGCGGTGTCAAAAACCTTTGCGCGCGCCGACGCCGCACGAACCTACCGTACGACTTTGCTCGATTTCGCTTGTGGGCGGAGTCGGGAGAGGCCGTCATCCCCTCACATGCGCCAACAGCGTCGGCGGATGAGGAGGAAGAGAGACGGAAGGTGGGAAGAGAAGGAGGAGGAGGAGGAGGACGAGGAGGAGGAGGCGGAGGAGGAGGAGGAGGAGGAGGAGGACGAGGAGGAGGAGAGCAGAAGGGGGGATGAGGAGGAGGAGGAGGAGGAGGAGGAGGAGGAGGAGGAGAGGAGGAGGAGGAGGGAGGAGGACGAGGAGGAGGAGGAGGCGGAGGAGGAGGAGGAGAGGAGGAAGGAGGAGGAGGAGGAGGAGGAGGAGGAGGAGGAGGAGGAGGCAGAGAAGGAGGAGGAGGAGGAGGAGGCGGAGGAGGAGGAAGAGGAGGATTTCGGATTTCGCTTCGGTCGAAAGGCTGTCGTCCAACTGCCAACTGTATCAGTAAGAAACATGGCGGATGTAGGGTGCGACTCTTTCGCACGACCTGCAAGCCGCTTCAAACGAAAGGGATTCGATGACACAAGTAAGGGTTTGATTTGTGCAGACAGTAACCCCCCTGAATTCCCGATCCCTCCCACCACTATCTGCTATCAGCTCCACGCCAGGCAAACGCAGCCGCAGCATGACTGTGAAGCAGGCTTCCAAACGGACTGGTCAGGATCCCTGACTCGAAGGGAGAGGCCGAGAGGAAGAAATGAAGAGAAGGAAAGGGGAGAGATAGTTGCTTTCGAAACACGTTAAAACAAACTGCTTAGCGGACGCAGTTCGTCCAGCACCTTAGCCTCTCCTTTAGAGGGGCTTGGGTGCTTTCTTTGGAACATTGTGTTCCATTTTGACTTGTTATGAGGGCTGGCGAACCTCTCTTTGCAAGGCTCTATTAGCCCTACAACTCGCTGGCCCTGGCAGAGAACCGCAAGAAGAACACACAACTATGAGTTGGTCTTCGTTGTAACTGGCAATATCGATTCTGTGGTTGCACGGGTTGGCAGTGATCGCGCTGAAAGCAGCGTTGTACCCTAAGCACACTGCGGTTTGAGGCGGGTACTCCGCCCTGCATCTGGTGTCACAGACGCGGTATGCCAACAGCTTAGTCGTAATCTTGGCCTGTCCTGCTACGTCAGGCTGAGGCGCCTGCGCGACCGAAGAAGCAGGCATCAGCACTCCTTCTCCGGTAGTGGCGCCTGCCTGCACCAGTGGAGGAGGTGGAGGGCAGAGGGGAGGAGCGCAGGATGGTATTGCACGCGCGCTAACGCTACTTGCGCTTGCTGCAGACTGCCCAGCCCTTCCCATTCCCATGGACTGGCCAGGAAAGGGACGGGCAGGACAGAAGTCGCCGATAAGCTCGGCCACGAAAGCAACCCTCCCCATCTCGGATGGCTCCCCGCTGCCTGCTCTCGTTTAGCTCTTATGCCCCTTTGGGGCAAGAGCTGGCCACAATTCGAAAGCACGTGGGACATATTTGAACTATGCCTCTAAAACCTTGCCCTGATTCCAATGGGCTTCTAACTCGGCAGCGCTAGGGGCCGCATGCAAATCTGCCCCCATTTTGGCGGCCGTGTCTGCTTCGTGTCTGCTTCATTATTGCCCACTTGCTTACAGCATTGAATCACTGTGCAGACACTGGCGATAACGAAGCTACATCCTGTTGTCCCTTTACCTTGCTAATGTGAAAATCATTGTGCGAATGAGCTCGGATTCAGAGCTTGACTCCCGCATATCAGGACTTCCTTTAACAATGCGCACTTACAGGCTGCTGCATAACAGAGGCTGCGCCGACGTAGTCAGACGCTGCCTCAGTGACTAAGGAGAGGTGTGAGACGGTTGCAAGTACTGCTAAGTTCTCCCCTGCACCAGATGTTTGCGGCCACTGTTACCTACCTGGCCAGCCATTCGGGCCGTAAGCTCGCCTGCCGGGATGTCTTCGAGATCCCCCAGTCTGCGCGATCAAAATATTCATGGTGTGACTTGAAACAACTACCATCAACAGACATTTTAGTTGCCCGTGAAGGCCTGATCGTACCCAAGGAAGGTTTGCTGACGACCCAAACTCGAAGGTTTCATGTCCTAAACCCGCCAGAGGCGCTGCCTGGAAATTCGGTTGGGGTTGCAGCCCGCACACTAGCGCCTTGCAGGCGGCTGGCATCGAAAGCGCTGGTTCAAAATCCTCTGGTAACATTTCTTCCCTAAGAGGGCGGGTCAGAGGGCAACGGATCAGCCGGTGATGCAGGTCGTCTGCAGGAGCTTCGCATGGACACCCAACATCGTGTACTGAACAGCCGTGATCCTCAAGGCGCTTCTCGGACCACACCGCGTGGGAAAGAAAAGCCAACAGGAGCTTTCTTTTGCTGGCAGCCATGTCCTTGTCTTGTAAGACTTTCCGAGCAATGCCGGGATCCAGGGTCTTGCCGTCCTGTATTCCCAATTGTCTTTCAGAAATGTCTGAATCATCTGAGGAGAAATGTCCGTAATATTGTACGTCTCTCCCGTGTCGGTGATTACCACAAACGGGGAAGAGAAGGTCCATCCACCCCCTCCGGAGTGGCAGAGTTACTATTCCAAAAGGGCCTCGAGCCCGTCCCCACTTATTCGGTAGCTTGGCGAAGATGCCCTGCTCGAGCCCCGTCAACTTTGGGAGGGGTCAATCCTTGTGCATCCGTGTATCCGTGTGACTCTTGCATACCAGCGGAGATCACTGCAGAAACGAGGCCACTGCTTGCTTCCACAAAGGATTGTCCAAGAAGTACAAGGAGAGACTTTTGGATCTGCTCTGAGATGGGCTGCCTGCAACCCTTAGGAAATGCGGCTCAGCCTGATCAAGTTCCAAGGGATCTAAACCGTCAGTCTCTGCCCCGTACAACCCAAAAGCCTGCAAGCCTGTAACGCAAATTTTTCTCATGTCTGCTCCTGCCTTCCGTGGGGCAGAGAACTTCTTATTCCTGTTGTTGAGGTTGGCCAATCGGGATCGAGTTGTCGATCTTGTGACTTTCCTTCGCCTCAGTGCTCCGCTCGTGTGGTTTATGCCTAGACTCGGTGCTGCTAGCTCGCTTGCTGGCTTCTGGCCCGCATATTTTGCCAAACGATTTAACGACCATCTGTCTGAGCGCTGGCGTGTTGGCTACAATGGCTGATTCCCTATCTGCGACCTTGCACCAGAGTTCCGTCCGAATGGTTTCTCAAAGAGCTGCTGCTGATTGTACTAACGCCTCTGCAACCTTCTTCATTGTCTCCGTCACTGCCTGAACGAACAAATCGTCATGAACATGGTGGGCCGTACTCTGCTAAAGCTTGCTGCCCATATCCTCAGAGGAGGGAGAGAGTATACCTGTAGTAGATATGTTGCAAAACCACATCCAACAGGGATTCCATACTTGGGGAACTCGCACTTCCGCACAACTCCCAGAAATCCAACAAACCTTCGGGCGCCATACTGGTTCAAAACAGCTGCCATTAGATGCTGGGAAACAGTGTAACTTTTTCACCCTTGTCTACACCAGCTCCCGGTCTAGCCCTTCAGAGTAATTGCACGAGATGGGCCGCCGAGTACTGCGGATGGTCATCACACTGTGCTGCCATTGCCTCCAGACTCTCTATGTATACGATTTACACTATCGAACGGCTTGCCTGATGTCCCATTAGAGGGTCTTGTTCCCTGCGTTCCCACTCTCTGCAACAGCTCTGCCGTACGCGTGCCCATACTTTGTACAAACACGGTAGCATTCCAATCCCTCTGGTACTGTGTCCTTTCTGCTCGGGCTTGTGCTTGGGGACCAACGATGTGTAAATTGCCAAGAGCACTGGGCATCACACCAATTTCTTCGATCAGCATCACTAGCCTTGCCACGCATTCTAGCTGAGAGGGGGTCAACAATCTGTAATGCCCAGGGTGAAACTCCGTCCCATGTTTGAGAGGTTTTTTGTTCAGAATGTCCTAGAGGCCTTACTGACCTGTTCGCTCGTGATTGGCGGGAGGTCCGATTCCAAAGCTTCCGCATTGAACCATGGCTGGGGTCGATCCTGGGAATCCCATATGGAGCCTAGTCGCTCACACTCCCTCCGAAGGGTTTCTGTGGGCTGGCCACACAGGGAGGGGTCTGTGTCTTGGGTAGGGCGCCAGTGCTCTTCTAGCTTAGGCCAACGGTGGGCCTATCCTTCACCCACACCCATGGCCTCTTTGACCCAGTCCATCCATGCTGTTCTGGCTCCCTGTGGAGGATGATACTTCTCCCTGTCGATGCCGATATTCACGTCGTTGTGAAGGTCCGTGAATATCTTGATGCTCAGCTCCACCTATAATCTTCCCTCCCAGTGGTCCGTCAGCATTGCGGAGGTCATTTGGCCGACGTGCTGCATGATCCCGATCAGGGCCGGGATCTCCCTGAATTCTGAAGGGCACTCAAGTAGCTCGAGATACATGCCTTCCAATGGTAAGTTCTGGGCCCCTCGTAAAATCCGTAAGACTGTTTGCAGCCACTGCAGCAACCAATAGAGGGGTATCTCATGAGATGTCCAACTCTTTCGGGTCTTCCGTTGAGCGGCCTGCTGGGTGACCACTTTATTTTGGGCGGTCCTCCTCGAGGGGTGGACTTCTGCTTTGGGGTATCTGTGACCTGCGATATGTGCGCCTCCAGGTGCCTTACTAGGGCTCCATATGCTACGTCCAAAGCTGCCTGACCTGCTTCCTGGAAGATCCCTGTCTCTGAAGTTCAGGAAATATGCCCCAAGGTGGCCTGAAGGTCTTCCCACTCCAGAGCTTCGAGACTGGGCCCAAAAGGCCTGCGGATCGGAAGCTGCTTGGGCTTGACAAAAATGGGCTCCTTCTCCTTTCTGTTGATCCTGCTGCAAAGGACGACTAGGTGGTGGGGTGGTGGCAACGGGTAATTCGTCAACGACTGCACTGAGTCGATCATGAGACCAGTCGACGGCGAGGCCAGAAAATAGTCGATCTTAGTCTGCGCCTGCGTCGTCGAGCATGTGTGGGGCTGATTATTTTCAGGGTGGCTCTACTCAGGAAGTCGTTCTGCATAAACTTGTTGGGGTTCATCTGGTAGTCCCCCCCCTGTGAGAATCGGGAGCTGACACTGATCTTGGAATTGAGCTAGCTCCGAGAGAATCTTCAGGTTAGCTTCTGAAGACCTTGCCGAGTGCACCACATAAACACGTGCCAGGACGAACTTCCCTAAATCTGGTACCTCCAGAATGACTCCACGAAACCTGTGTGGGTGCGATAATGCAGACTGGCTGATGTGCGTCATACCAAACTGTAGGCCGTCTCTGACCAGCATAGCAACGCCCCCTGATTACCTGCCTGAAGTAACTGCTTCGACAAACCAAAGTCAGCTTTCCACCCTCTAGCTTCACAGTGCTCTATTGCCTCTCGCACCTGGTCTGTTGACTCGATGCGGGTCTCCTGCAAGAGGAGAACACCGGCCTGCTGGAATCTATCATCAGATCGTCTGTTCTTAAATGATGGCCACGCATTGATCTTTATAGTGGACACTTCTGCTGTCCAAGCCTCTTCGTGTCGCCATACTCTTACTTGTGATGGTACTTGATGCGGTACTCCGTTTGGGGAATGTCTTTGATGGGGTGCTGGGATGGATGGGCTCAAGCTGATACCCTAACCGGTCCACCACAGGCGGTTTCATCTCTCCCCCCGCCGATGAAGCCGAGCCCTGCCCCTGTTCATGGATCTGCCGTAGTACAGTCTCCATCTCCTTCTCTACTACGTCTTGGGGCCCTCCACTGCCTTGCGGGGGGTTGGGCTTTGCCTTGCCCTGTGCCGTCTTACCAGACTTCGGGGCCAAGGAAGACATCGTAGCCGAAATATGTGTAAGCTGCCAACTTAGCTGCGCTCCTAGACTGTACCTGCTTCCAACACTCGTCAACGGGCTCTTCAGATGGAACTGGTCGCCAATGTACGTTTTCGGCCGTCTGATTTGGCATGCCATCGTCCGACATATCATCTGCCTCCTCTTTGCCCTCCTTTGGAACAAAACATAATCTCTCTCATCATCATATCCTGTGCCTCCTGATCTGCTGCTGGTTCCTGCTGCTGCTGCCTTGCAGGGAGCGTCACCGCATAGAGGATGGAAGCCAACTGAGGGAAGGCCTGTGCAACAGCCTGCTGACCTCGACCCTGCACCTCGGGGACATGTTGCATCAGCTGACCCTGAACATCGTCCAGAAGTGTCCGAAGAGCTCTGTCGTGTTCTTGTTGCACTGCTTCAGCGTGCTCTGCTGCTGCCTGGGACGTGGCAGCAGCCACCTCTGCTTGCCGCCGCTCGACCTGCAGGGCCAAGCTCTCGGTCTCCTCCTCTGCCAGCTGCGCGTGCTTTGCGGCCTTGGTGTGCATGAGCTGCTCGATCTCCACCATCTCCTATGGGTGCGAGCTGCAGCTTGCCTGCTGGGTTGCCAGCTGGTCCTGCAGGCTCCTAGCTTGGCTGGCGAAGGGTTTTTCTGGCGATGCCACTACTTGGAGGATTTCCTGGGCTGCCAACACTTCCCCATGCCCGGGTCCATAACACTTCTAAGCAACATTAAATTAGCCTCCTGCTAGACAGACCAGGTCGTTCTTAGCACGCTCTGTCCACTTGAAGAGGGTCGTTGGGGTTGGGGGGTGGAGGACGCTTTGAATCCTTCGCTCCTCCACCTCCTCCACCGCCCCATTTCCCTTTTCCACGCCAATAGGTATGCCACGGGCGGAAGGCCGTCTGGCACCTACTGCAGTTTTTTGTCTTCGGCGATCTGGCCGTACCCATCCTGCTCGTCCATACCCACCCAGAACATCCCTCCTTGCAGCGCACAACATGGCTTCGCGCGCGAGGCATAGTACTGTGCGCGGAGAGGAAGACGAAGTTGCTAGGCCCAAGGGGGGCCTGCCCCGCACTGTTGGACCCTTGAGCCCGAGGTTGGGTGGGAGCCCCCGTGATGAGGCCCACGGAGGCTTGAGCCAAAATGGCTACGGGGGAGGAGGAGGAGGAGGAGGAGGAGGAGGAGGAGGAGGAGGAGGAGGAGGAGGAGGAGGAGGAGGAGGAGGAGGAGGAGGAGGAGGGAGGAGCAGAGGAGGAGGAGGAGGAGGAGGAGGAGGAGGCTTGCTTCCAGTGCTGGCTCGACCTGCGATTAGCAAACACGGTACTTGGTGAGGGGGGGCCCACGGGCTGACCTTCGACGAGTCCTATACGGTACGGAACGAAGATGCGACTATCTTCCCACCAGTCTTTCCTTGGCGTGCCGCTTGCTCATGATGAGGGGGCAAGGGCTCAGAGGAGGAAGAGATGCCGCTGCCCTTCCATCGTCGCCACGGGTTCGCCTCGAAATCCTGGTCAGCAGGCCTCGGGGAGAGGTCCGTGGAGTAGCGGCGTCGGCAACCCCAGATCTCCGACGATGTGTTTTTTTTTCACAGCGTGGACCCCGGAGGTCCAGACCCCTTCCCCCAAACCTGCTCTTCACTGAAAGCCTCCCGCCGTGTTTTTTTCCAGCAGCGATGTGAGGTGATGGTCTCTTTGGTTCCCAAAGGGCCTGCCGCGGGGGGGGGCAGGGCTCGTTTCGACACCTCCGATTCGATTCGATTCTATTTCGATGGCTTCCGATTCCGATTCGATTCGACTTGGGATTCCGATTTGGGTTCAGATTTCTTACTGAAGGCCTACTAGCCTGCCGATTTCCGCCGATTCGACTTTTTCCGACTCGGCTGCCGATTTCCGCCGATCCGATTTATGTCGATCGCCGATCCGACTTATCGATTCGATTCTGCGCTCTCCTGGGGGGGGGCTGGCTGCCGTCGGTGGAGGGGTTGCCTCAGTCATGGGGGGAATTGGAGGGCCAGGGGGGGGGGGGCGATGGGGCGGGCCGCTGGAGAGGCGGAGCATAACTCTGCCAGGGGTCAGCAGCACGATTTTGCCGCTGCCTTCCCCTGGGGGCGGGATGACCAGCAGGAGGAGGAGGAGGAGGAGGAGGAGGAGGAGGAGGAGGAGGAGGAGGGGGGGAGGGGGGGAGGAGGCGGAGGAGCAGGAGGAGGAGGAGGAGGAGGAGGAGAGAGGAGGAGGAGGAGGAGGCGGAGGAGCAGGAGGGAGAGGAGGAGGAGGCGGAGGCGGAGGAGGAGGAGAGGAGGAGGAGGAGGAGGAGGAGGAGGAGGAGGAGGAGGACTTCTCTCTCTCGCCTCCCCCTCTCCACTCCCCCTCGCCCTCCCCCCTCGCCCTCGGCCTTTCTGCCCCCTCTTCTCCCTTCCCCTGCCCTTCCCCTGCCCCTTCCCCGCGCCCGCCCCCCTTGCTCTTCCCCTCCCCAGAAAGTCGAAATGCCACCCGCATCCCCCAAACGAATGACGCCATCGAGTTTCACTCAGACAGCTAGTTCGCAGGCCTGTGCAGAGTAAGCCGCCACAGAGGCTGGGATGTACATCCTGAACAAGGACGAGGAGAAGGAGGTCACCGACGCGTGGCTAGACACAGTCGACCAGGCCGAAAGGAGCGGCCTGTTGAGGTGAATGAGTAGGAGAGAACGGAGACAGACCCAGAGCAGTGCAGAGAAGGGGAAGAAGGATGATGCTGATGATGAGAAGAAGGAGGAGAATGAGGAGGAGGAGGACGAGGATAAATGATGATACTGGCAACGATCATGATGATGATGATGATGACGATGCTGACGATGATGATGCAGATGATGATGATGATGATGATGATGATGATGATGATGATGATGATGATGATGATGATGCTGATGATGCTGATGCTGATGATGATGATGCTGATGATGATGCTGCTGATGATGATGCTGATCATGACGATGATGATGATGATGATTCTGATGATGATGATGCTGATGATGATCCTGATGCTGATGATGAGTAGGAGGATGATGCTGATGATGCTGATGAGTGCTGAGTGATGATTGTGAGGATGCCGATGATGATGATGGTGGTGATGATGATGATGATGATGATGATGATGATGAGGATGATGAGATGAGGAGGAAGAGCAGGAGGAGGAGGAGCGATGAGCGCGGAGGGATGATGAGGACTAGTATGAGGGAGGAACAGGATGATAATGATGAGCAGGAGGATGAGGAGGACGAGGAGGAGGAAGAAGAGGGGGAGGAGTATGATAAAGGGATATCAGGAAGGGGTGGCAGGGCAGAGGGCGGGTCGGAAGAGGAAATTGATGAGGTGGAGGTGGAGGGCGATGATGTTCAGGATGAGGATGATGCTGCTGCTGATGATGTTGATGATGATGCTGATGCTGCTGCTGATGTTGATGCTGATGGTGAAGGTGCTGGTGAGGGTGACGATGGTGATGATGATGCTGATGATGATGATGATGATGATGATTATGATGATGATGATGATGATGATGATGATGATGATGATGATGATGATGATGATGATGATGATGATGATGATGATGTGATGATGCTGATGCTGATGCTGATGCTGATGATAATGATGATGATGCTGATGATGTTGATGATGATGCTGATGCTGCTGCTGATGTTGATGCTGATGGTGAAGGTGCTGGTGAGGGTGACGATGGTGATGATGATGCTGATGATGATGATGCTGATGATGATGATGATGATGATGATGATGATGATGATGATGATGATGTGATGATGCTGATGCTGATGCTGATGCTGATGATAATGATGATGATGATGATGATGATGATGATGCTGATGGTGATGACGATGGTGCTGATGCTGATGATGCTGACGAAGGGCGAAGACGACGATGATGCTGATGGTGATGACGATGATGATGAGGAGGAGGATGATGGTGACGATAGCGACGCTGATGATGCGGATGATGCTGATGACGAACATGATGCCGATTATGAGCATGATGACATGGTGATGACCATGCTGCTGATGCTGATGCTGATGAGGATGATGATCGTGATGATGCTGAAGCCGTTGAGGATGCCGATGCTGAATATGTTGATGATACTGGTGGTGATGATGATGATGATGATGCTGTTGGTACTGATGATGATGGTGATGCTGATGCTGCTGCCGATGCTGATTATGTCTATGATGATGCTGCTGACGATGCTGATGTCGATTATGTTGATGCTGCTGCTGATGATGAAGATGATGATGCTGACGCTGATGACGATGCTGAGAATGCTTACGGTGATGATCCTGCAGATGATAACGATGAGGAAAACGATTCTGATACTGAAGATGATGCTGACGATGATGACTTGATAATGCCGATGCTGCCGATGCTGATGATGATGGTGGCGATGATGCTGACGGTGATGACGATGCTGATGATGTTTCTGCTGCTGATGATGCTGAAGATGACGATGCTGCTGATGACGATGACTATGCTGATGACGACGACTATGATGATGCTGATTATGCTAATGCTGATGCTGCTGATGCTGATGATGATGCTGATGATGATGCTGATGATGCTGATGATGATGCTGCTGGTGATGTTTAGTATGATGATTCTGGTGATGATGATTCCTGTGATGCTAATGACGAGGATGATGCTGATCATGACGATGACGACGACTATGTTGATGCTGCTGATGACACCGATGCGTATGGTGGTGAGGGTGATGGGGATGACTATGATGGTGATGATGATGCTGATGGGGTTGACGATGTCGGTGGTGTTGATAGTGACGACGGCGACGACAACGACGACGACGACGGGGAAGACGACGACGGGGACGACGACGACGACGACGGGTATGACGACGACGACGACGGCGGCGACGAGGAGGAGGACGAGCAGGAGCAGTATGAACCTCTGGTCTTGACCACTGCGCGCAACAGGACCGCGATCTTCAAGCGTAACGAGCGGCAGCAGAAGGCTCACGGGAGGGTAGCAGCCCGTGCATTTGCCGCCTGGGGGGGCCTCTCGAGTTGTCCAGGGGCAGTGCGGCAGCCAACCGATATGCCAACGTGTTCAGAGGGTATTTTTGGGATGCCCAGATGCCAGTCTACTTCAGCCGCCTTCCTACTTCAAGAGTCTAGCGGTTTTCCGTTGTCCCTCCTCCTCAGGGGGCGGGCGGAAGCCCAATCTATTTCCAACGCCTTCCTATTTGATGTTTTCACCCACTTCTTCTGACCGACGTGTATGCTAACATGGTCAGAGGAAGAAAGCCAGTATCGATACCCTCCGTCTCCTCCTCCTCCGTCTCCCCCTCCTTGTGCGATTTGTTTTCCCTGTCGAGTTGCGTGCGCACCCCCGAGGTTGTGAGCCCTGTGTTCTCACCGTGTTCTAACTGCCAGCATTTTCGCCCATACCTGCCCACTGTCTCACACGTTGGGGGTATGTGAGAAAACACCAGTGCCGATACCCTCCCACGGAATGATCGGTCGGGGACATTCCCAGGGCCCACCTGACGGACTTCTTCGACTCTAGCTCGACTCTTCCTCGACTCAAGTTCGACGTAAGTTCGTATCAATATCTGCTCAAGTCGACGGACGCTTGGCGCAGCATCGACGCATGAGTGGAGCGATTGGCTCCAGGAAGGCCCCCAGAACGAGCATCTTGCAGTCACCAAGTGTTGTCCGAACTTGGTTTTTCTCCTATAGCGCAAGGCGGCCAAGACTGCTACTTCCCGGATCTCCAGCATCAACAAGAACCTCGGGAAGGACGAGGAAGAGGACGAGGATGCGAAAGAAGAAGGAGAAGATAAGGACCCTCTCTTGTGAAGTGGTGGCATCGAGGAAGCAGGTGTAGAAGAAGTGATGAAATAGACGAGGTGCATACGGAGAGGAGAGGCTTGGCAAGATCGCAAACGCAGTCGAGGAGGGTGAGGGAGCGGATGATGATGCTGATGATGATGATGCTAATGGTGCTGTGGATGCTGGTGATGATGATGATGATGATGATGATGATGATGATGATGATGATGATGATGATGATGATGATGATGATGATGATGATTGTGGTGGTGGTGAGGTTGATGACGATGCTGACGCTGATGCTGATGCTGCTGATGGTGCTGATGCTTATGGTGGTGATGATGAAGATACTGCTGCTGATGCTGATGCTGCTGATGATGCTACGGAGGGTGGTACGGATGATGATGATGGTGATGTTGATGGTGATGATGGTGCTGATGAGGATGATAATGAGGATGGGATGAGGATGATGATGAGGAGGATGATAATGGTGCTGTTGATGATGATGATGATGATGATGATGATGATTATGATGATGATGATGATGATGATGACGATTGATGGTGATGATAAAGATGACGATTATGCTGCTGGTGATGCGGATGCTGATGCTGCTGCTGATGATGATGATGACGCTGGATATGATGCCGATGCTACTGATACTGACGATGCTGATGCTGCTGCCGCTGCCGCTGCTGCTGCTGCAAATGATGATGGTGCTGATGCTGCTGCTGCTGATGCTGCTGCAGATGATGATGATGATGATGCTGATGATGATGATGATGATGATGATGATGATGATGATGATGATGATGATGATGCTCATGATGCTGATTATGATGATGATGATGATGATGATGATGAGGATGAGGATGATGATTGTCAATGATGATGCTGACGATGCTGATGATGACGATTGATGGCGATGATGGTGACTAATCTGCTTATGCTGATGGTGATGGTGATGCTGATGCTGCTGTTCATGCTGATGACGATGATGGCGATGAAGCGGGTGCTGCTGCTACTGATACTGATGATGCTGATGTTGCTGTCGCTGCTGCTGCTGCTGATGGTGATGTTGCTGATCATGATGATGATGCTGATGATGATGCTGATGATGATGATGCTGTTGATGATGCTGATGATGATGATGATGATGCTGATGATGATGCTGATGAGGATGATTATGATTATGATGATGATGATGATGATGATGATGATGATGATGATGACGATGACGATGACGATGATGATGATGATGCTGATGATGATGATGCTGCTGACGATGATGATGTTGATGATGCTGATGCTGCTGACGCTGATGACGATGATGCTGATGATGATGATGATGATGCTGATGATGATGATGATGAGGATGAGGATGAGGATGAGGATGAGGATGAGGATGAGGATGAGGATGATGATGATGATGATGATGATGATGATGATGATGATGATGATGATGATGATGATGATGATGATGATGATGATGATGATGATGATGATGATGATGATGATGCTGATGATGATGATGATGATGATGATGATGATGATGATGATGATGACCATTTGAATTATGCCTGGGTGGCACCGTTTTGCATCTTGGTCGCGTGTTCTACGCTCTGGTTGAATGTACACTGGCTAGATTGACTGGACATGACGTGTGCACCCCATTATGCGTGGCAGGTTGGGGGGATTCTACGCTGAGCTGCCCTGCTGCTAGACTGATGCGCTGGCCATACCCGAGTAGAGAACACAAACCAGCCATGCGGCACCCATAGGAAAGCGGCTGCGAGCATCTCCGATCCAATTTCGAGGCTTCGGTGACGTGATGATGAGGACTGTTACCCTAGGATCCCTTTGAAGTGATCCGGGGACAAAGACTGGACACATTCCGCTGGGTGCCGCTCCGTAGCCATTTTGGCTCAAGCCATTTTTGGCTCAAACGAAACATCTGTCGAGGCAACTGGCCAGGTCAGCGTGTGGCCCGTCCTCGGCCGCCCTACACCGTACGGGGGGCGGGACAATTTTCAGCATCGCGACATAATTCGGTACCGTAGCCGCTGTTTGCCATCTCTTTTCTTCTTGTCCGTTCTGCTTTGCCATCCAGGGGAGATCGCAAGTGTCAGCGCTCTCGAGATTGAGAGGACTTGCACGACAGCCGCGGAGGGGGCTACCGCAATCGTGGGTCTTCGCCGTCTCGAAGCCGTTGGTTCTCGCCGAGCCGCCAGGACACTCTGTGCCCCCCATCGCATGATACTGGATGTACCGCAGGGCAGCTAGACAAGCTCATTGGGAGCTTGGAGACGCTCGCGCAGGTGGTCAACAACCAAGGGCAGGACGTTCAGGCCATCAAGCTAGCTTGCAACTCGTCGCTCGAACGGTGCTCGCAACTTGCGGACCAGGTGTCGCTGATGGGCCGCGAATTCCACACCAAGCACGCGGAGCTCCAACACTTTGTATCTACTTCCATTCGTGATTTTTGATATGAGAAGGACGAAGCTGCAGAATTACCTCAACTCTAGCACTCAACATACCAGCATGGACAGCACGGAGCCAGACGCCACATCACATGCCATGAACGATAAGTTTGGCAACATCGAGAAAGCACCGGCAGATCTTTCGACACGATAGGGGGTCGCAGAACGGCAATCTTGTGACGCTCTCTCGCCCTCGTTGCCGCGAGCGTCAGCAGCTGCACAATCACATTCGAATGCTACCAGAGATCGTGGATATCTCCAGGACCAAACTCGTAAACTTCGGATTCGGGGTTTCTCGAGGAAGGTGTTGGTCAATGATTTGCGGACGATAGGTGAAACATGCCGTGACACATTCGCCCCGAGCTTAGAAGCCAGCAGTATAGTTGTTCGTGCATTTGACGACATGGGTAGGAGCATCACTTTACATGTCGAGACGCCCATGACAGCAGGAACGTTCATATACAACTTCGTCGCTCGCAACCGAACGTGGGACTTTCCTGATCCATTGAACCCTCCTGTGATGCTATCGTTGAGGCTTCGCAGTAACATGAATCTTAATAGCTGCCAGCTGTCTGTGTCTTTGGACCAGGTAAGAAGCAAGGCCACCGACCTAGTCTTCGAGAAGGGACTTGAGGTAGGCTCTTCGGGTCTGGGCGGAGGTGTGTACATCCTGCGTGGCCCGCATGATCCTGTGCAGGTCGCATCGACTGCTGTGGATGAGCAATGGGTCGTCTCCTGCAACCTCGGCCACGACGCTTTGCTCGAGTTTGACATCGCCCAACATGCAGCAGCGCTCGAGGCAGCGGCACATCTACAGTTACAGCGTCCCTTTCGACGCTGAGCAAGGCTGCGAGGGTAGCCTGGTAATTCCGTCCCCCTTCTCCTCCTCCTGGGACGAATACGACGGTGTCGGAACTGCCAGGCCCTCATGACGTCCGTGCGCACATTTAGCAAGATGACATCCAGCATATGTTTCAGGTACATTCAATTATCGAAGCAACATGATATGCTTACCACACAGGAGACACACGGTCACATTGCCGACATCCGCGAATTGGAGAGGAAGCTCCACGCGCACCGGTTCGGCTTCTCCGTCCTCGACTCCAATCGCGAGGGCGGAGTCATCACCCCCCTATCGGTAAGGTTGACGAGTCAGTTTGCTGATTTACAGCATGAGGTGATCATCCAGGGACGAGTCCTGAAGTCAACCCTCAGTAGGCCCAGGGGCAACCTCGTCATCTACAATCTCCACCTCCCGAACACGAGTGATCCCATGCCGCTTTCCAGAGGTGTTCGGAGAAGGCTCCGACAGGACTTGCGACTTCACCAACCCGGTGGAGATGGGCTGCGTGCTCATTGTTTGTTGCGTGGGTAATGAATCCAGGTCGGCTTTGTGGAGACACTGGTTCGTTTTCTACTGGGGACTCGACCCACTCTAGAACCTTCGACAAGTTTCCCGCAGCTCCCGGATGTTTTCCAAGTCCAGGGTACACGACGAGGTCAACGTGAACATGCTTTTTCTTCTACGTCAAAAATAGATCGCATCTACATCACCCCCCTGGGTTGTTGCGGGACATCACGGTGAAAACAAACACCATGGGGACCCGAGGCCTTTTGTCCCTGTGGTTGCCACGCTGCAGCCCTTCACGCCCAACAGTTGGCCACCTACGATCGCGCCTTGATTGCGGCGCTCCCTGACATCAACACGGCCCTACATGGCTTGATCGCTCAAGCTCCGACTTCTTGGGATCCTTGGAACAAGTTCAAGTGTGAGAAAGTCTGTTTCTACGAGGCGGCCGCCTCAGCCCGTTCTGCACTTCGCTCCCGTGAGGTCAAGTCCCTGCAGGAACGCCATTTCTGTGCTCTGGCCGCCCTCCGTGCCGTTCGTCTTGGCCAGCTGGGGTGCCTGGAGGACGCTGTTCGCTGCTACCCTCGCTTACGTGCCCACTTTCAGTAGGGACTTGGAGACGCGCGTCCATGTCGGCGGCCTCTGCCAGCACGTGCAGGCATTATCTAACAAGATCTTGGAGGAGGAGGAGGAGGAGGCTGCGATCAGATGGCGGCCCATCTCGCCGTCGGTTGCGCGCAGCGGGGGTCCTGTGCCGGGCGCCCAGGCGCCTTGGGCGGAGCTGACCGGAGGGCCGGCGGGCGCCGCGGCAACACCACCAGCCGCGGCGGCCGCGGCCGCGCCCGCCGCGCTGGCCGCGGCGGCGGCGGCGGCAGGCGACAGCGCGGCGGCGGCGCGCCACGGCGGCGGCGGTCGCCGCGGCGCAGCCGCGGCCGGCCGGTGCAACGGCCTCAGCAGCCGCGGTGGCCGCAGCCGCCGCGGCAGCGCCGGCGGCGGCGGCGGCCGCAGCGCCGACGGCCACCGCGGCGGCGGCGCCAGCCGGCGCTTCGCAGGCAGCGCTGGCGGCCGGCGGCGCCGGCCGTTCGCGGGCATGGCTGGCGCAGGGGGGTGCCAGGCCTGGGGGCGCTGCAGCTCCAGCGGCACAGGCGGCGCGGCCGGCGGCCGCGCGCCGCTGCCGCCGCCGCCGCCGAGTGGCACGCGTCTTCATGGCCCGTTGGCGGGGGCTTGGAGGGAGGAGCGAGGCTCCCTCCCTGCCCTCGCCGGCAGAGGCCGTTTGGCAGGCCCCGGCCGCGCAAGCCTGTTCAGCTCCCTTGAGCCAGAGCGGCTTGAGCCGACTTGAGCCAAATTATACAAACACGCTGTGCGTGCATGTGTACAAAGAAATATCCATGTTTCAGAGGTCGCTGACATGCCGGCCAGCGTCTGGAAGAGCACGGCGCGAGAGTACAGCCGCTCTCGGTAGCTCGCTTCCATTGCTCATGTGCGCGTCACGCCGCTTATTGGCTGATTGATCGATTTTGTTTTTCCAGTGCGCCCCCGCCCCCCCCACGGAGCCGCGCACGTGCCGCCAGCCACGATTTGCGTCCGCCCCTCTTTCACGACCCCCCCCCCCTTGGCCGCCCCCGAAAACCGACCGGAGGCGGGGGGAGATCCGCGGCGGATGTCCGTCGTGCTCGGCTCATCGCTGCCCTGGGCGCCTCCCGCGCGCAGGACGGCGCGGGGCAGTCGGCGACGGACGGGCCCGCGGCCGCGCCGCAGCCCCCCGACGAGCAGGACGACGCGGCCACGCTGCTCGCCTTCCTGGAGGACCGGGTACTTCGAGTATCTAGGCCTCCTAGATTCAGGAGGGGAAAAAACACAGACACAATTAATCGTCGATCCCCAGGAAAATATGGGAAAATATGGGAAGTGGGGGGGAAGACAGAAACCCAGAAATTATTGGAAAATATGGGGCATCAGTTTATTTACGTGTATTTATTTGTGTGTCCTTGGGCCCCTTGATAGATGGGGTCGGAGTAGATGGGGTCGGAGGATCGTGCCGCATCGTCGATGCACCGCCGATGATACGGCTTGATGCGGAGCCCGATTTTCTCCACGCCGACGTCGCCGATGCATCGCCGACGCTGCATCGCGGGTGCATCACCGATGCGTCGCCGATGCATCTCCGATGTATCTGCGATATGGCGCGATCCTCCGGCCCCATTTACTCCGACCCCATATGGGAGGCCTCTAGGGGGGAGACTACAGAGTTGATCCCCCACGAATTCATTATCCAGTCGAATCTACGAAGCATGCGAAGATGGTTCCGTTGATCCACAAACAATTTGCGTATGTTTGGTAGATTCGACGAGGAAATCAAGATTGGGGCAAATCAATTCTGTAATCGAGGCTAGACCTCGTCGGATTTGGTCGACACCTCGACGACACCTGGGCGAAATCTAGACGGAAGGGTGAGGATGGGTGGTCTGAATCCGGACGAAATCCGGTCGACATCATGTTTACGAGAGGGCCCCGGAGGTCCACAGGGGTTCCTATGAAAGCTCACCCAGGATACAGCATAGCAGCCAGTCGTATCTTGCATGCTCTGTAGTCGTTTGTGTCCAGAGCGCTCACAGCGCCCAAGGCTCCCAGGTTCTTTTGGGCTGTCGGGTGATTCTCAGGAGGTGGGCGGCACAGCACTGCATTTGCAGCTGGTTGAAAAGAGCAGCGCGTTCACACATCGAGGAACAAACAATGGCATACTCCAGATTTCGTAATAAAGGGAGGGGGGTCTCATTTCGGGGGGGTCTCTTCCAGGCTATCTTGGAGGGCCTGGGGGGTCTCTGGACGATGTTTTGGAGGGTTCTCCCACGTGGGAGGTCTGAAATGGCTTGTCTTGGAGGGTCCAGACCCCCTCCCTTTTATTTCGAAATCTGGAGTGAACATAAACTGTCGGCGCTCCGCTCGGATATCTTGGATCTGCGCTGGACCCCACTCCCCCTGGCGCGCGGGGCGCGGCAGGGGTGGCGCCGCGGGCGCCGTTAAGGGGGGGGCCCTGCGCCGATCCAAGCAACCCGCGTGGCGTTCCGAAAGCTTCTGCTCATGCTGCGGTTTCGGCCTTGAACTTGCCACTGGTTGAAAATCACCACCCACCAAACCACCCCAACCCAACCCGAAGGCCTCAATTTGCCCTCCATTTCCAGTTGGGGGGGGTCGGGGAACATCGACAAAAACACACATGGAACCCGTACCCCCTCCCAACCCGAAATTGGGGTCTTCGGGTTGGGTTGGGGTGGTCTGGTAGGTAGTCAGAAAAGACAGCGCGTTCACGCAGCAGTCGTCCTCGGCGGTGCACGAGGGTGCCCTCGAGCTTGTGCAAGGGTGCCCCTCCAGCGCCGGGCCTCCGAGGGGGACAAGGCACCGTTGCCGCTGCCCTTGCCGGGTCCTCGCCCTCTGTGCTGGCCTCGTGGGTAGCCCTCGTCGCCACGGCTTGATCCGCCGCGAGTGTCTGGTCAGGACGCACTTAGCGAGAGGTCTGGGGAGCATCGAATAACACCAAACCAGCACACACATAACCTGTCGACGGTCTGCACGGACGCACGGACTTTCTGGATCTGCGCTGGAGCCCCCTGGCGGCGCCCATGGCGCCGCCCCTGACGCGTGCCAGGGATGGGGGTCATCCCGATCCAAGAAATCCGCGCGGACCTTGGATCATTTATGCCTATGCCGTTTTTTAATCCTCTAACTTCCTCCTTTCTTCCTCCTCCTCGCCTCCTCCTCCTCCTCCTCCTCCTCCGCCTCCTCCTCCTTCTCCTCCTCCGTCTCCTCCTCCTCCTCCTCCCCCTCCTCCTCCTCCCCCTCCTCCTCCTCCGCCTCCTCCTCCTCCGCCTCCTCCTCCTCCTCCTCCTATGCACTGTGCCGTTTTGGAGAACGGCCGCCCGGCCACTCCCGTCGAGTTTCTCTTCGCGCTGCGAGTGCCCTCCTTCCTTCCCCGGCCTCCGCGGCCGCGCTCCTCCTGGGCTTAAAAGTCGGGCGCGTCCCCCCACAGGGGGGGGATCTTGGACGGACAAAAAAATACACCCCAAAAATGAGCAAACATGGTCGACAAGTACTGAAACAATCGCCCACATATTATTTTTTGACTATTTTTGAATACTCCTCCCATAGAGGGACGTGCCCGACCTCATCCTGGGCCTCCACTCTGGCCGCTGGACACAGCTCGTGTCTGCCGTGGCCCGGCTCACCCGAGCGCGGGTGCGGGTCGCCTCCGCCGCGCCTCGACGGGACACTTCTGGAGCGGGGCTGGAACTCGGCGGCGAACCCCGGGGGGTAGGAGGCCACATGCGAACCCGACCCCTACCCCCCACGATTTCTGAGGGGGAGGGTGGGGTTCACTTCGCTCGAGAGCTCCCGAGCGAAGTGAACCCTGCCCTCCCCCTCAGAAGTCGTGGGGGGTAGGGGTAGGGTTCGCATGTGGCTTCCTACCCGGGGGGAAGGTGAGAAGGGGCGTGCCTTCTCAGAAGGCTCGGAAGTCTCCAGGCCTTCTGGGAAGTTTTCTGAGCCTTCTGCGGAGACGCAGAAGACTTCTCACAAGGCCCGAGGGCTTCCGAGAAGTCCCGCCGCCTTCTGAGAAGGTCTTCTCCTTCTCACTCCCCCTCCCCCCCGGGCGCGCCACCGACTATCGGTCAAAATCGGTCCCGGACCCCTCCCGGCGTCCATCCGACGCGGTTTTTCATCCCCGATCGAGTTCCGGGCGCCCCGGGGCCCGAAAACGGCCCTCAGAGGCCGAACGCGAGGAGCAACCCGAGTTCGAGCCTCGAGCCGCGAAAAAGTTCGAGGCGCGGGCCGCGTCTGCCGATCGAGGGCTGGCGCCTTCGAAGAAGCAGCCTCCTGCGAAGAAGCTCCCTCCCCCCTGCTCCCTGCTCCCTGCTCCCTCCTCCCTCCTCCCTCCTCCCTCCTCCCTCCTCCCTCCTCCCTCCTCCCTCCTCCCTCCTCCCCTTCCCCCGAAGCCCCGCCCCCCCTGTGCGCGCGCCGCCGGGCCCCCGGGAGGCCGTCACACGCGTGAGAGGACCTGCCAAAGGGCTTACAGCGCCCGGTTTTAACACATGCTCCGCGTGCAAAAGGAAGGGACTCAGTATTGAAAACAATGATGAAGTTATGCATTGATTTATGAGTAGATTAACCATGTATAAAAAAATCCAATGTATCAAAAATCCCATGTATTAAGACCTGCCCTGTACTTGGGTCGTCTTGGGGCCATCTGGGGGGCCTCTGGTCAAGAGAGGAGAAATCACCCAGACCGGACAATTGGCGTTTACCAAGGACCGACCACAACGCTGTTTAGCTTGGTTCTGGCCCTTGTTTTGTTTCTCGTTCGTTTTTCGTTATTGTTTCGTTTCGTTTATCGTTGTTGCTGTAAACGCCCCGTTTCGTCGTTAGTTTTCGTTTGGCACTGGCTTCGTTTCAAACGTTCGTTTCAAACGTTGGGCCCTGTTTCGTTGTTCGTTTGAAGCGCCATTTCGCTTTAAACATCGTAATTCGCGGTCGGTCCCTGGCGTTGGCTAAACGGCCCTGGGCGCTTCCTAGAAAGCTTTGCTCTGTTCGACTCCTTCTTTGGGTGCGTTCACTAAGCGGCCTCGCTGGTCGGGGTGATTCTTGTGGGGGTGGACTTTTTTCAGGAGGAAAAAACACACAGACACAATTAATCGTCGACTTCCCCAGAAAATGTGGGAAAGTATGGGCAGTGGGGGGGAAGACAGAAACCCAGAAAATATAGGAAAGTATGGGGAATCCTGTTACTTGTGTCTATTTGTTTGTGTGTCACAGGGAATCCTGTTATTCGTGTCCATTGATTTGTGTGCCCCAGGGCCCCTTCCTTCTTGCCCTCTGCCTGGGGTCTCTCTCTTGGGGCCCCCTCGAGCTGCTCCTGGCCCTGCCGGGGCCGACGGGCGGAGCCCGCCTGGGCCCGGAGGCTTCTGAGCCTTGGGTCCCTCCACAGTTACCAGCCTCGAACTTATCCCTATCCCTAAGATTGACACGCCCAAAAAGCGATGACAATCTTAGGGATGCGCCCTCCAAAAAGAAGGGAATCCCTAAGGTTGGCATCGTGATGAGGAGATGCCCAGCATAGGGATAGGGATGTGTTCCAGGCTGGTAATACGGGAGGAATGCTCAAAACTTCTGCACGAACGAGATGGGCACGGAGAGAACGGGTACAATGCCCAACAGCAGTTCTTTCAGGAGGGAAAAAGCACACAGACACAATTAATCCCTCTACAGGAGGAATACATAGAAATACAGTCGGGCCGGTCCCTCTACAGGAGGAGTGCTCAGCCACGCGCAGAGGGGGGTGGGGGAGGGGGGAGGGCTTCTTAGAAGCACCCCTGCTTCTCAGAAGGCGCGGGCCTTATCTATAGATGTGAGGCCGGCGCCTTCTAAGAAGCAGCCTGCTTCTAAGAAGCCCTCCCCCTCCCCCCACCCCCTTCTGCGCGCCGCCAAAATATTCAAAAATTCGTGACGACCGACATGGGCACGGACAGAACGGGTACAATGCCCAACAGCAGTTCCTGCTCATTTTGGACAGGACTCGCTGTCCGCGTCGCCGCGGCCTGTGTCCATTCGAGACGGGAGAGGCCGCCCAACAGCGGCCGCTGTTGGTTTGGGGCAACATTTGTTGTTGGGCATTGTGCCCATTCTTTCCGTACCCATTTCGGGCGTCCAAATCTGAGACTTGGTGTTGAGGCGGGCCGGTCCCTCTACAGGAGGAATGCTCAAAAACAGTCAGGGGTCGACGTTTCTGCCATTTTTGATCCGTTTGGGGCCTTTTTCGACAATGTTTTATGTTTCGTCCGAAATCCGCCTGTAGGGGGTCACGCCCGACCTAAACTTAGTGTCGGCGACGCGCACGTCGTCTTTCAGGCCGTGCGTGTTATGCTCGTCCGCCTCTTCGTGCAAGAGTCTGGCACATCATCGGCAGCAACACGCCGATGGGGTCGCTGAGCAGGCGTGGCGCTGATACTGCTTTCGCTTTCCGGAGCGTGTCCATGCCACTGTGGATAGCGCCCGAGAGTCCAGACCGCGAGGGCGTGGATATGGATCTGGCATTTTTCGCCCCTCGAGGCTCTACCCCCTCTCTGCCTCCCTCCCTCCCTCATCCTCCTCCTCGCTGCCATGCCTCCTTCTCCCCGCCCGCCTCCGATGTAGGGCTTCCACTCCTGCGGAGCCTCCTTGCCGGCTGGCCGTCTCCCGGTCCCTTGCCCCAGGGCCCCGCCACATATCACATATATATATATATATATATATATACACCCAGACCTATGATGTTCCAACCTACTCTAGCCTTGATCACCAAAAGAGTACTGAAACTCGAGGGTTTTCACGTGTCGGGCCTTGGGAGACACTCGTCCGACACTGTTTCGACACTGTTTCGACACTCTTTCGACACTCTTTCGGCACTTTTCCGGGTGCTCGAAATTATTTCTGGGATGCGGTCCTTAAGTACGATGGGAACAACATAACCCAGACACCCTCTGGTGGATTGTCCTTGGGCCTCCAGGGAGGGCGGCGGTGTAGAAATCACCACTGGGCGCCAGCGGCTTTATACACCGCCACCCTCCCTGAAGGTGCAGGGTCTGGCTTGAATAAGGAGCACTTACTTTTCAAAAGGCGCTCGGTCGTTCTTTTGGTTTGCATGCGTTCCGCTACCTTTTTGGCGGCGAGCCCCCCTGGTGTTCCTTCGGACTTCGTAGACTTGCTTGGAACAAGAGGCGCTTCGTTCCTAATTTGTCGCTCCTTAGGTCGGGCCGAGTACTGTACATGCAGAGTTCGTCGGAGGGCGTTTGTATATATATATATATAGATATGTATACATGTATAGCTGTATGTATGTATGTATGTATGTATATCTATATATGTATATATGTCTTCGTGGCGTAATGTGTGTGTATATATATTTATTATATATATATATATGTATATCTATCTATCTATCTTCGTGGCGAAATGTGGCCTCCCTCCCTCTTGCGCGCGACGCGCGTCCGTCAGCCGGCCACCAGGAGCTGAGCCCGCGAAGGCCGCACGCCGACTCCCCGCCGCAGGCCCGGGGGGCGCTGGAGCGGACGGCTCGGAGGAGGCCACGGGGCACTCTTCCGGAGGCCACGTCCGGAGGCAACGTTGGGAGGGCTGTTTGCTGGGGCGTGTCCGCGGGGGTGGTGCTGCGAACAAAAAGCACGACGGGTGGCTTGCTCGCTATTTTTCCCACCTTTGTTGGGCCAGGCGAGAGGGGGTGATTGGGTAAGGGTGGGGGTACGAACTCTGCTGCATGCAGCTGGTTTCGGCCCCACCGAGGGGCCCATTCCTCGATACATAGCCGCCTCCGGCGCCGGGAGGCGCCGGGAAAATCAGCTACGCGAGCTGATGCTCACCCCCCCCTTTGCTATCCCCCCTTTTCGCCCGGCCCGACTTTACCGGGGACTTGGGACCGTCAAACCACGACTCAGGATGAAACGCCGGTCCTGGGGAACAGGTCCAGAGCTCTGCGGGTCGACGTTGTGACAAAGTCAGGACGTCGGGGGTTTGGCTAATCGCCCCCCGTTTGGATTGCTGGGGGTTGTTTGCCAGGGCGTGTCCGTGGGTGTGGCGGGGGGAGGTGGCGTTTATCGCCGCGCTGTGTGCTGGGGGGTGTTGGCCTGCAGTGGGGTGGTTGGGATCAAGCGCCTCCAGGGGTGGCATGCAGGGGGGATTGGCCTGAGGGCGTCCGAAGGGGTGCGAGGGGGGTGTGGGGTCGGATGCGGGAGGCGGTGTCAGGGGGGGTTGGCCGCCGCCAGTCTGCATGTTTGTCACCCCCCTTGATAATAAGAAGTTTAGAGTACCCTTGCCGATCAACGATTCAGGCAACTCGATGGGCGGCGAGGGTAGGGTTCGGAATTCGTCGAACACGTGGCGACGTCCGACGCCTTCCCCTGCTCCCCCATCGACTCGGGAGAATCGATGGTTGGTGGGGGTAGGGTTCGGATGTCGGCGCCTGCAGGGGCAACGTCCGGGGTCAGGGACTGATTTTTGACCCCCATCAGGCTTCTAGGTTTGAGGTTCTCGGGTGTTCTCGTCGGCTCTTGGCGGCCTCGGGGTGCCTTCCAGCGGCTGGGCCTCGCCGAGAGCGTTCCGGGGGCGGCCGGATCGGCCCGAGCGGCCCCTGGAGATCCGAGGCATGGGCCGAAGACCGCCAAGCGTCGAAGTGGTCAGGGGCATCGTAGGGGGGGGGGGGGGCGACAGGCTCAGGGGGGGATCTGCGTCGGCCCACAATCGCCCGTTGATCGCCGATGGGGGCCCGATGGCCCCGCCCCGCCCAGGAGCGGGCGTGCGGATGCGATTTCGGGGGCCTCTCGCCGATCTGTCGGCGACTCATCGCCGATTCCAGATCGACGTCCCCCTCCCTGCGCTGGTCCACCCCTCATCGATCCCCTCCCCCTCGAATCGTTCCAAGGTTCGAGCGACCCGTGCGGTGTCAGGAGCCATCGCCCACGCCATGGCGGCGCGGGCCTGCCGTCCGTCGCTCTCCACGACAGACTGGCGCAGCTCCCCGGAGCTCCGATGTCTTCCACGACCCTCGACCCCGGAGGTCTACGCCCCTTCCCCAGGACCGGCTTGTCATCCCCAGCCGTGTTTTCGAAGGTCCCGGGGCCCGGTGAGGGCGCCCCGGGCTTGAATCAGGAGGGGAAAAAACACAGACACAAGTAATCGCCGGTCACCCAGAAGATATGGGAACATATGGGAAGTGTGGGGGAGACAAAAACCAAGAGAATAGAGGCAAATATGGGGAATCCTGTTATTTGTGTGCATTTATTTGTGTGCCCCATGGCCCCTTCAAAAAGGCTTGGTTGTGACTGTTCCCGCGACGACGGGCCGTGTCCCCGGGGCCGACCTTGGCCCCTCGCCCCCGCACGTGCGTGGTGCTGGACCAGCTTGTTTGGGGGTGGTGTGTGTGTGTGTGTGTGGGTGTGTAGAAACATCCGGGTAGAGCCAGGACCCCAGGTTACGGTAGGTTTGCGTCGTGTCGACCAGCGGCGACCCCAGCGCGGGCGTTCAAGGTTGAACGCCGCCGGCGGCCCAGAATCGATCGATGTGGAACGATCGGACGTTGCGGCAGCGGCCGATCGTTCAAGGTTGAACGATCCAGCGCGGTGTCAGAAACCAACGCTGGGGTCGGCACGACACGAACCTGCCGTAGGGCACCCGGTTAGTGGTAGGGCCCCGGAGCCCCGAAGATGGCCAGAATCACTAAACCAGGTCTGCCGTAGCTTGGTTGATGGACCTCCTGCCCTGACACGTCGATGAGTGAATTGGCCGTTCTCGGTTCGCGAGAGGGCGTCGCGGCCGTCTTTTTTGCGGGTCCAGGTCCGTCGGTTTCGGTCCCAGGCCGTTTTCACCAAGGGGAGGTCTACTAAAGGGAGGTTTGGGGTTGGTGTGTGTGTGGGTGTGTGTGTAGAAACATCCGGGTATAGCCAGGACCCCAGGTTAGGGCACCCGGTTAGTGGTAGGGCCGCGGAGCCCCGAAGATGGCCAGAATCACTAAACCAGGTCTGCCGTAGCTTGGTTGATAGACCTCCTACCCTGACACGTCGATGAGTGAATTGGCCGTTCTCGGTTCGCGAGAGGGCGTCGCGGCCGTCTTTTTTGCGGGTCCAGGTCCGTCGGTTTCGGTCCCAGGCCGTTTTCACCAAGGGGAGGTCTACTAAAGGGAGGTTTGTCCTCCGCCGATTGTGGGGTTGGTGTGTGTGTGTGGGTGTGTAGAAACATCCGGGTATAGCCAGGACCCCAGGTTAGGGGATCCGGTTAGTGGTAGGGCCCCGGAGCCCCGAAGATGGCCAGAATCACCAAACCAGGTCTGCAGTATCTAGTGTTTTTCCCAACCATGCTGTGGTGTTGGGTCCTCGTTTTGAAGAGACGGTCCCCGCGTTCCTCCTCCTTCTCCTCTTCCCCCTCCTCCTCCATCGTCCGCATGCATCCCGCACACCAGCACAGCGTTTCGTGGCCCTCCTCCCCCTCCTCCCTGCGTTTCATCCACCCAGTACAGCGTTTCGTGGCTCCATAGGGAGCCCCACCGAAGGTCCCAGCGCTACCGCCCGCATGCGTCCCGCACACCCAGTACAGCGTTTCGTGGCCCCATAGGGAGCCCCACCGAAGGTCCCAGTGCTACCGTCCGCATGCGTCCCGCACACCCAGTACAGCGTTTCGTGGCCCCATAGGGGGCCCCACCGAAGGTCCCAGTGCTACCGTCCGCATGCGTCCCGCACACCCAGTACAGCGTTTCGTGGCCCCATAGGGAGCCCCACCGAAGGTCCCAGTGCTACCGTCCGCATGCGCCCCGCACACCCAGTACAGCGTCTCGTGGCCCTCCTCCCCCTCCTCCCTGCGCTTCACCCACCCAGTGCAGCGTTTTGTGGCCCCATAGGGAGCTCCACCGAAGCCCTCAGTGGGACCGTCCGCATGCGTCCCGGAAACCTAACTCGGCACACCACCCACACAGTACAGCGTTCCCCCCCAGTGCAGCGCTTCGTGGCTTCATAGGGAGCTTCACCGAAGCAGATATTCACAATTACGGTACCCACAACTGCATATGGTTGGGACCTTCGCCAGGATCATTTCGGGTGACGGCAGTTCCTGTAAGTGGAACGGGGCGGGTGGGGGCGTCCCGCAGCACACATCACTAAACCATTTCCAACTAAACCCAGTTCTGCCAACGCCCGGAAAATCCGTGTCACAGGGGGTGCCTTTTTTGTACGCAGTCTTTGCCTCAAGGTCTTGTGCCAGACCAGTGTCCAAGAGATCCGACGCATTGACGCGGCCCCTGGAAGTCCCGACCCTTTCCCCTGGGCCGGTTTTTCATCCCGAGCCGTTTTTCGACGGTCCCAGGGCCCGACGAGGGCCCCCAGAGGCCGAAGACGGGGAAATGCCAACGATGTTCAACACGTTGGAGGTCGGGGTGGTTTACGGGGGCGGTGTGCAAACATCATGTCCGAAGTGCAGCTTTGCAGGGGCAGGGGGGGCCGATTTTCTCCACGCCGACGGCGCCGATGCACCGCCTACGTCGCCGATGCATTGGCGGTGC